AGCTGCGCCCGAGTCGACGCAGGGGTAGGATTGTCCAAGCGCTTCCGAATGACGCCCTGCTGCGCGGGCGCGCCCTTGCCGGCCAGAATCAGAGCTGCTGCTGCGACTTGGAACGGGTCGGGAGCGCCAAGCTTGTGGCCCTTCTGCCCCTTGACCCTCGGTGGATAACTCTTGGTCGCGGGCCTGCTTCATGCCCGCGCATGGCGGATCCTTTACCTTCTAAGCGATCCGGTACGCAACTGCGGCCTCTAGCACCCCGATGCGCCGCGTGCCAATCACCCCCATCTTCGCAGCCACGTCGGCCGTCTGCTCAGGCGTTGAAGCCAAGGCTACGCGCTTGTTTACCCGCGACCCCTCAGCCTCTTCGCAAGGAGCATGCGCGGCAGGCTTCTCCCCGGCCTCGCCGAACGTCGCACCCTCGGTCTCGAGCGGAAGGTGAAAACGAAACTGCCACTGGGCCACCTCGCAGCTACGGAGGCTGATTTCACATGCGCACTTACACGGCGGACGATTGGCGCGCGCGCGCTGGGCTGCGGACCCCCCGGAGCGAGGACATATGCCAGACTGCAAGCTCTTTTTCAAGATGAGAGCGAGTAGAGATTGCCACATTATATGTAAGCATTGGACACAGTAACAATGCGCGATGGGGTTCGGTGACCATGATCAAGCTGACGAGAGTTAGCCCGACGCAATAATTGCTGCCCCCTGGTCGGGAACGACGCCCCACCGACGTCTTTCGACGCCCATAGATTGAGACAGCACCTATGCTCCAGAGGCTCCGCAGGAAAAGAAAAAGAGGGAAGGGGGCCAGGCGGAGCAGACCCGAGAGCAGCCACAGGAACAAGAGGACAATGGGGGCCCACGGAGCCGACGACAGGAGCCTGGATCTCAGCCTCAGCAGGCGGAGCTATAAATTTGCCTTCGTTCTCGCTGCGCAAGATCTGAGGACCAGCCGCATCAAAAATGGCTTGGCGTCCTCAGAGCAGAAAAATACGCAGCGGGCAAGCTCGGCGCCTCAGCGGCCACGTCAAGAAAATCAGCCACACGAGCAAGCTCCAGGCAATCTAGCATAAACTGCCGCCACCATTCACTGGCCTCGAAGATAAGACCCCCCCCCCCCGATCAACTTCGACCCCTACCACTCCGAAGTCCCCGACATTGCATCTATGAGCTGCAAGCTGCTAAGCGGCCACCTCGCAATATCCCGAACCCACCGATGCCTCTCAATGCGAGGGCGCACGGCAATAGAGCACAAACGCAGTCGACAATAAATATCCTGCGCCAACCGCGCTATATGATCTATCTCCCCTTCCACCTCCTCCATCAGACAGCCCCCCCGCAATGTTGCGCTTAGCTAAGATCGCCTGAACGCCGCCCGGGCGCGCGCGGCAGTCCGGGGCCACGGCCGCGGACAGAAGCAGCGAGGTAAGAGCATCCTCGGTCACAGCCTGGCACGCGACAGATGTTCCATCACAGATTGGCACAACTGTGCCAGAAACGCCCCAGAAGCCCGAAACTGCGCCTCGCCTTCTGTCCTGCGAGGACACTCACCGCTGCAACTGCCAGCTGAACGGATCAACGGCCCAAGATAGCGATAATGCAATCCCCCGCGCTAAACTGCCAGGGCCCCAAGCACGTGCCAAACTAACCCGAGAAAGCGCGCCTCCGAGACACATGGCCCCCCCGCCCAGCAACGTGCACCAGGCTCTCTCGGTTGCTTCCATTTACAGAGATACAACCAGCAGCAGCTCGGTCTTGGCGCCGAGTCTGGCTCGCAACATTTACAAATCCATCGCGCGATCGCAAGAGCTGGGTGCGACAAAAGTCGCCGGCAAGGCTAGCAAATGAAACGTCGATCCCCCGATCGGATCAGGCGCGCAGAGCAACGCGAACACCACTATCACCCAAACAGTGCGCAAGCCACGGAACAGAGACGCTAAGCCCTGACCCCCCCCCCCAAAAAAAACAAACAAAACATTAGAACAACACTGATGGGCCCCAGGGAACAAGGCGGGAGCAACTGCATCACCGTGTAGAGTTCCCGCCCGCAGACCCACCTGAATAATCGGGTCCACGCAGTCCAACGCCATTTGTCCGTGACCCAGACGCTCAGAAAACAGATGATACGCGAACTCGGCGGCATGCTGCTGCGCAAGCATCTTGAGAAGCCAATGCTGGAACGCGTCCGTCGCGCCATGAAAGGTCGAACAGTAGCTCAATTTTGATTCCCCAAAACGCGCCCAACATAGGGCCCAAACTAAACCAGCACCCTCTCTCCGCCTACGTCTCAGATAACCGCGGGCGTGACCTCGTGCGGCATGCTGGTCCAGGCTAGGAATTGATTCCCACCGGTATTTATAACATATCTTCCCGAAGGCACCACGACTGCGCACCAGCCTGAGCCCCTGACAATCTACCTTCCCATTACCCTTGGCATGCGTGAAGGCCTCACTAGAAGGCCATATCAAGGAACCCCCAAGTGATGACGAATACTCACAAGTATGTAAACCAGACGATACTTGATAGCACTGGAGTCCCAGTTCTGCTCATCCCTTTCAATCCCCGCCCTCTCCTGCTTCTTTAACTCCTGGCCATACTCATCTCCCGCAGCCTGCCATGCCTCCATCGTGCCAGTCTCACAAAGATCCCGAGTTAGTCTTGCATCCAGCGCCTCTTCATACTTAGCCCTAGTGGAAGCAACACCACCTTCAGAAACAGGCCTTGCAATGCGCAATGCATTCGCGCCGCGCAGCAGCATTCAGCAAAGTGCGACGAGCAGAATGCCACCTGAGCTTCCGACCAAGGCAATTGCCACTCAGCCGCCGAGAAACGCCCTAGGCAGAAAACAAGTCACGATCATTCCGTGCATCCCCCAGCTCCGCAACTCTCACTCCTATGTGACACTTGCGGCCCTTGCGCGCCCTCCAGCGAGGCTCCCGATCCACCCGCCGACACAGAAAGACGTGCTTGGCCAGCGCGCCCGGAGGAAAAGAAATCCAGAAGCACCTGCACACACTCGCCAGGTGACCAGAAGCAGCATGGGGGAGGAAAACCACGAGCCACAGAGGACCACAGCCCCAGGAAGGAGGAAGAGGAGGGGGACTACGCTGCTTTCGCTGCATAAGCTCCAGCCTCAAGCGAATGGGTTTGGCGAGAGCATCTGACGTCGCCCCGGGACGGATCCCAAATGCATCAGGAAAGAACGGGGCCCAGCTCCAGAAGCGATACTAGTGGAATTTGATCCCGTCCAGTCCTTGTGCTAATCAACAGCAGAGCCTCGCCCGAGCGCTCCCATACTTCACACTTTCGAACTTTATCCAGGATCCCCGTCGTAGTACAAATACACTCCGCACGCGCATTACTAGTGAAAAAGGGCAAGATTACCGACAAAGGGGATGCTAGCCGCACATAAATAATGAGCCCCCAGCGAGTCTCGAAAAATCGTCCGTATTTGCATGATCAACTTCACAGGTACCGAGACTCGCACTGTCAATACTCCCAAACGCGCGCATTTACATCAAGCATCAAGAGAGGTACGGTGCGACGGCAACTCATATATCAAGGATTCCAGCTCGTCCCACAACCTCCGACATCCTCTCAGAGTTGCAATGCGCTCTGCACCACCTGGTTCTACCAGGGCATAGGCTACAATGAATGTCACATCACTCGACGACGACTTACAACGTACAGCTCCCAGCATGCCCGCCATTTCACCTCAGAAGTGCCACACCATACGTTTCTGCTTGTCATCAAACGCACAATCTCAAATCAGTAGCGAGCATCCAGCAGGTATGCCTGCAGTGCCAGCAGTTCGTCCCCACTGAAATCTATGATACTTGCCTGGCCTATCCTGTACACAACGAAGATCAGTACCACATTGAGTGCCCAAAGGAGCCATAGCATGACAACTGCGTAGCTGCTTCTGCACATCCTGCCATATGCCCGCCTGCCGCATCGATAACGGGCTCCACATGCAAAATCGAGTCAGTACCATGGCCGTCCGAGAAACACACCACCTGCTGAGGGGGTGTGTCGAGGCAGGTGCAAAGACATGCCTAGTGGCGCGCGTCGCCCCCCCTCTGGGTTGCAGCCTGGGCCGCAGAAGCTGAGGAGCAGGAGGAGGAGCGGGAGGAGGAGGAGGAGAGGGTGGAGGAGGAGGAGGCGATGATCAGTCGGCAACTCATGCTCGGCCAGTCGCGTCTGGCCGCGCAGGACGACAGGAGCACCTGGAACTGTATCGGACCCCTGAACCAGACTCCCGACCCATTCGTTCCCTGGGGACTCTGGGAGCCCGAAGAAGGCCTAACTCCAAAAAAAAACAAAACGACCCGAGCAGCACCAAACAGCTCATCCTGCTACACTCCTAGGACACCGATGAGGGCAACTGCATTGGTAGGTTGCCATACTGTGCCAACGGACATCATGTTAGAATGTACCGCCAGGCATGATTGGAGAGCACACGCGAGACGACACAATACACTTTCCGAGGGCTACATGGCCATATAAATGTAGGAGGCACGGGTCTCTAAAGGCAGAACACAAGGGTACGTTTGAGTTGGAAAGACAGGACGCAAGGGTACCTTTGACTTGCACGGGCCACAACGAGGGACCACAAGCCACGACCAAAAATCATGAGCCACGACCAGACACCACGACCTCAGAAAAAAACGGATTTGGGATCGCCCGGTCTAAACATATGCACATGGGTACAACTATGAGCAACGAGAAGGAACGGGTCGTACGCGAGATCGCATAGCGATCTGACGGGGGGGCTTACGTGGGCCGCCAACACGGCACGCTGCATGTATAACAAGGGCGCTAACGCGGCACCTTCTGCGAGCAGCTTGCGCGCCAACGTCGGGGACGACGACCCTTTTTTGTTGCGTCGCCCATGTGTACACGTAGAACCCTGACAGATGAGCTGCCTAATTTGGCAACTTCGAACCTCGCTCCTCGGTCCTCGGCCCGCGACCGCGACAGGGGCGGCATGAGGGCGCGACAGCGGCGGCACCTCCGGCTCCTCCTCATCCTCGGCGAGCAGGAGGGAAGGGGCGAGGGGGAAAGGCAGGGGACTTCTCAGAAGCCGTCCTGCGCTCCGAGAAGCCCTACTGGGAGCCTCCGATCCCTTCCAAGGAGTCGGCCGCCTCCTCGGAGGGCAGATCCCCCCGCCCCATCCCCTCTGGCGTGCGGCGGATCCTCGTCGTCCTCGTCCTCGCCCGTGCGCCGGAGGCGGCCGCCGCCGCGGAGGGAAATCGGCTCCTGGTTGATGGTGGCGACCTGGCTGGCGGTCGGCGGGGGCCCTCTCCCGGCCCGCTCCCGGCGAAAGAGCGGTGCAGCGAGCCGCGCGAGAGAGCGAGGCGCTGCTTCCGTCACGTGCAGGGCCGCACGCTGGGCGGAGTCTGCGCCGTGGTGCTCACCCCCGCGGCCACTCCCAGAACCTCATCTCCCTCTTCCCACCCCCAGTCCTCCCGCGCATCCGCCTCCTGTCAGTCCTTCCCCTTCGCCAGCTCCTCCTCTCCTCCTCCTCCTCCTCCTCCTCCTCCTCCTCCTCCTCCTCCTCCTCCTCCTCCTCCTCCTCCTCCTCCTCCTCCTCCCCTCCTCCTCCTCCTCCTCCTCCTCCTCCTCCTCCTCCTCCTCCTCTGCCTCCTCCTCCTCCTCCTCCTGATGATCTGCCTCCTCTTTCTGGCCCGTCTTGCACCTTTTTTCCGGAGACCCTCACCCCAGAAGGCCTCTCTTGAGGCATCCAACGCGCGAGCCTGCAATACATCTTCTTCGGGGCGGGAGGGAGAAGATGGGAGCGGACAGCACAGATTCACGCAATTTGCCTCCTCGCCAAACGCGCCGTCGACGAAGCATGCCCGACCGATCTGCATCGCCGATGCATAGGCGATGCAGTGCGGTCCTCGGGCCCCATCTACTCGGACTCCATCCAGGAGGCCTAGAGAGTAGGGGATCGACTACATAACCAGAATCTACGACAAGTGCGTAGCATGTTCGCAGATGCGACAGCTATTCCACATACTTGCTCGTAGATTCGACGAACAGGCAGAAAGTTTGGGGTAAATCCGTAGTCAAGTCCATGCCCTACTCGAGTACTGATGTGGCCGGCGACGCAGATGTTCAAGATGGCTGGGAGGAAGGTGGCGAAGCTGAGGACTTAGGAGCCGACCGGCTCGAGACCATGGCGGCGGCGGTGCCACTTCAGGATATCGAGGCCCTCCTACAGAGGACCTCGGCCGAGAGGTCCGCCGCCGTGGAGCGAGCTGCATCGCGAGATGCACCACCGGGGCCCGAGCAGGAGGGCACACACCTCGCAGCAGGAAGTCCTCGGCGCTCCTCCCGTGCAGCACGCTCCGCAGCAGTGTGCGGACCGAGGCGCCAGCAGCGCAGACTGCGGAGCCGTTGGAGATCGTCGGGAGGGGTGCAGCCGCTGCGGCGCGGTGGGAGTTCGGGCCCGGCTGCTCCAGGATGCCGACGTCCTCACAGGTCGTGCCGCTGGGTCGCCGCGCGGAGCGCGGTCGGCGGAGACGGGGCCACAGCCCGCGAGCCTCGAGGGCTCCACGGACGCGAAGACGACCACCGTCACAACGACGAGGAGGTCTGGGTTCGGCGGCGAGCGAGGGGAAGTGAGATGCTTGCCTCGGGGTGCTGGCGTCGGTTTTCCAGCCTCGGGCTGCTTGCCAGCATCTGCGCCTCGCCGCGGGCGTTCCGGGGGTGCCGGGATCGTCCCGAGCGGCCGCCAGAGACCCGAGTTGTGACCAAAAAACCAGATGCGGCGGCGCGCCCAGGGGGACGTGAAGAGGAGAAGGCCTTCTAAGAAGGCGGCGGGACCTCTCAGAGGAGCCCTCGCGCCTTCTGAGCAGACCTCTGTGCCTTCGGGGAAGGCACGGGAAACTTCTCAGAAGGCCGCGGAGACTTCCGAGCCTTCTGCGAAGGCCCGCCACTTCTCACTTCCATTGAATCGGGCGTGTCACCCTACAGGCGGATTTGGGACGACAAATAAAACATAGTCAACAAAAATCAAAGAAATACACCGTAATAGTCAAACAATCGTCCCAGGACTATTTTTTCAAACTATTGTTGAACATTCCTCCTGTAGAGGGACAGGCCCGACTTAACACTTCCACCCAGGCTCGCCGCCGATGGATGCAACGTCAGAATTTATGCGGCCAGCAGGGCGGCCCGAGCGACGGCAGCGGCCGAGGCGACAGCCTTCGAGCCTCGATGCTCGGCGGAGGCGGAGACGACCACCACCACCAGGACGAGGACTGGATGCCACGTCAGGTAAGACGAAGCCAGGGCGAGGACAAAATAGGGTGGGGAGAAATCAAGCATCTCTGAGATCTAGCGGCTCTGGAGCATGTCTCGGACGCCGCGGTCTTCTCAGAGCGTCCCGGAACGCTCTGAGAGCGTTCCAGAACGCTCTGGCACGGATTCATCCTCATCCTAGCCCCGTCCAATCAGGGCCCCTGGCCCGAGCGACGGTAGTGGACGAGGGCACAGCCTTCGAGCCTCGATGCTCGACGGACGCGAAGACGACCACCACCACCACAACGAGGACTGGATGCAAGGTCGGGTAAGACGAAGCCAGGGCGAGGGTAAAATCGGGTAAGGATAAATCGAGGATCTCTGAGATCTGTCGTCTCTGGAGGATGTCTGGGACGCCGCGGCCGTCTCAGAGCGTCCCGGAACGCTCCGAGAGCGATCCGGAACGCTCTGGAACGGACTTACGTATCCTCATCCTGGCCCTGTCCGATCAGGGTCTCTGGGGCCAGCAAGGAGGCCCGAGCGATGAGAGGGGACGAGGTGACAGCCTTCGAGCCTCAGTCCCCCAACGACGACGACCAACATCGGCGCGAAACTGGTCTACAGACCCCTCCCCGGGCCCATCCCGACCACCTTTTCGGGCTGCGTCCAGCCGTGGTGACGTCCACTTTTTTCGGGCTGCGTCCACCTTTGCGGCCACTTTTCGGGCTGCGGCCGCATTCTCGGAGCTCCAACATCGCCCGGACACCTCTGGAACGAAGACGCCAACGTCGACGCCGACGACTGGATGCAGTATTGGGAGCTCGGGGGTTGGCAAGGCGGAGCGAGGGCGGCGGACAGGAGAGCGGGGGCCTGGAAGAGAGAGGCGAGCCCGCGCATCATGGCCCGAATGGCACGTGTGCGGACGAGGGGGCCCCAGGGACGTGCTGAAAGACCGGGGGCAAAGCTACCCACACTGCTCCTGCCCTGGCGTGGTGACGGCGCCGTTGCGAGCGACAATGAGGGACACCGCAAAATGCCACCAGGCGCTGCAGGCGGGGGGGGGCAGCGCAGAACGGAGCCGGTGTTCAGGAGCGAACTGCACCCAGCACTACTGCGGACGAAAGGGCAAGCGGTGGACCCGTCCGCTGGCATGATATGATATCTGCACACATACACATATATACACACACACACCTTTTGGCGTCGCCGCCCTGCGCGCGGCGACAGGGCGTAGGTCGGAAAAACAATGAAGCCCGCGCGTCTACGTTCGCCCGAGCACTCAGAGACCACACGAAAACACACACACACACACACTCACACACACACACACACACACACACGCACACACTCACTCACGCACACACGTTTTGGCAGTCACGGCCTCGCGCGCAGCGACGAGGCAGAGGAAGTCAAACAAGCGGCACAGAACGGGCGCGCAAAGCCGGGCGCTCAAAAGTGGGATCCCATTGGATCGGCCGTGCCACACACACACACACACACGCACACGCACACACACACACACTCACACACGCGCGCACATCCCTGGCCCTCGCCCGCCTCCTTCCACGCCCCCACGTCTGTTAAGCTGGGACCAGCCGTCCCGGCATTCCTGTAGGCCTACAACGCAATGTTCTTAGAACCAGAAAAAAAAACCGACGCGTTAAAACGAAATCGTCTCCGCCAGAACTGTTCCAAGAAGATCTCGCGCAAAGTACAAAAGGCTCCTAGACCATATTCTTGTGGACCTATAGGCAAATCAGGACGCTTCGCCACTGCTTGACTCTGCCCACGCCCCCGGCGACGGCGGCGGACAGAGCGGAGTTTGCCCGGCGACCTTCATAGGCCGCGCGCGCGCGCTGGTCCTGCCTGGCGTGTCGGCCTGCTGGGGCCTGCGGGCGCGGGGTCCTCGTCGCCGTCGACGGCATCGACGGCGCCGCAGTCGTCGACTCGGGCGTTACTTACAATCAACCCGTATAATAGGGATGCGCGGTAATGGTGCAAGGGCCTTGGAGGTCCATGTTGACGTCTTCCGAACGAGGTTGGCCAGCAAGTACCGCTGAGGATGAGCCGAAAAGGCAAGGATGCAAGGGTAGCTTCGGGAAGTTGCTTATTCTTACTTTGCGGGTTGACTGTAAATGGGGGGGCGATTATTGTGGTGGGGGGAACGTCCGCCTATCGCGCCCCTTTGGGGCCTCTTCGGGGCCCCAGTGGGGAGCAAAAGGTGCATCCTGCTTCCGCCCCCCATGTGCCGCCCCCCCTTTACGCAACGCCTGATCGCTGTCGTCCGTCGTCGTCGCCGGGTGTTCGAAGGTGTTCGATGGTTTTCGGAAGTTCCCGAAGGTCATTCTGCGCTACTCGAGGAGGCCCCCGGTGGCTCTCCGAGGCCGTCGTCGGCGTCGGCGTCGCGATCGAAGGTTGGTGATCCTATGCGATCGAAGATATTGTTTTCCGATCATCGAGAATCGTGGACCAACACAGCTGACCCCGCAAGCCAACGCATCAGAAGTAGTGTGAGGCAGGCGGACTGGTGGGGACAGTAACGCGGGCAATTAGAAAATAGTGACAAGACAAGGCTCACAACCTCGGGGGCGCGTGCGCTGGCTGTCGGAGAAAACAATTCGCACCGGGATGCGGAGAGGAGGAAAAGGCGGAGGAGGAAACGGATGACGAGGAGAAGGGGGAGCGGGAAGGGAGAGGCGAGAGAAGCCAATCAAAAGCCAGGAGCGGCGCTCAAGCCAACCTGCCATGGTTAGACGAGCCGTCGCGCGCACCCATGGGTTGGGAGAACGGGTGACAGTACAGATCGATTGGTCTCGGAGGTCATCGCCGGAGAGCCTGTCAGCCTGGGCGCCCACATGACCACTGCAGTTCAAGTGCAGAGGAATAGGCTATACTGTTTCAACTCCGAGGAGGCGAAGAGAAAGGAGGAGGAGGAGCAGAGCAGAGGAGGGATAGCGCGGAATACACATCGAACCTGCAGTATGGCACGCCGTGGGTGACCACGAACGGCCGGGAGAGGCGGAAGGCGCGAAGTCAAATCAGAACTATATCTTGCGGCTGACGGCATAATGGCGGAGTAGAGAAAGAAAAGACGTCATAAACATAAAGATTTGGCGCTCCGCGCAGATTTCTTGGATCTGCGCTGGACCCCCCTCCCTGGCGCGCGGAGCGCGCCAGGGGCGGCGCCGCGGGCGCTGCCAGGGGGGGCCCAGCGCGGATCCAAGAAATCCGCACGGAGCACCAAAAGTATATGCTTATGGCGTTTTTCCTTCTTCGGAGGAGGGACGAAAAGAGGGGGAGGAAACAACCCGCCTGACTATTGTCCGTGCCGCGCGGAGCAGCGCCTCCAGAGCACCGTGCCCGCGCGCGCCCTCCCACAGCATGGCAGGGAGAGCGCTCGCGGCCTTGGCAACGCGCGGAGTCCCTTTGCGGACCGCGGCTTGCACGCGATACGAGGCATTCCCCAAATTTCATGATAAAGCCGGCCCGTATCATGAGGATGCGCGATAAAGATGCAGGGACCTTGGACACCCAAGTGGCCAGCGAAAGTGGCCAAGGATGGCCGAGGAGGCAAGGATGCAAGAGTACCCTTGGGAAGGTTGCCCATCCTTACTATGCGGGTTGACCGTAAAAGGGAGGGGAGCACAACCCTCCCAGACAAGCCATTTTAGGCCCCCCCCGGACAGGCCGCGAAATGGCGGCCTTTTGCCCAGACCCCCGGAACCCTCTAAGACAGCTCAAATCAGAACCGGCCCCCAAATCTGACCTCCCCTGCTTGATTGCGGAGTGGGGAATACACTGGAGGCCAGTCCACGAGAAACCTTCCACAAGAAACCCAATCCTTAGACCCCAGGGCGTCCATGATTTTTTGGTATGGGAAAGCCGCTCTCTCCATCGCAAAACCATCAAAACCCAAGAAAACCCAGGGCAACCTTGAGGCAAGCAGGATATCTCTTGGCATGGGCCTCCACTGTACAAGGTGAGAGCTCGCAACACCATGGCGCGCGCGTCGACGCGTGCGCATGTCGAAATCCTTCAAACACCTCGGGCGTCGTAAAACCGAGAATCACAAAAACATTCGAACAAATTCATATTTTCGCAAGAAAGCGAAGCGAAGCGAAGCGAACCGTCATCGCCTGGAGGCGGCCCATGGCTGGGCGACGGGCGCATTGCGAGGCGCGCTGGCCTTCTGAGAGGACCGGGAAAATGCCATAACCGATTCGCGATTCAGTGCACATGCGGACCGGGGAAAGGGCAGGGGAGCCGAGAGGGAAACAGACGAAGCAAAGAAGTGGAACCGATTGGAAAATGGATGGGTAGAAAAGGATGGTGCGACTCCTCACCGCTACTTTACTGTGGAACGATGAGTGCACGGTGAAATCTCGCACCACCACGGCCCACTCAGACGAGCCGGCGCCGCCGCGCCTGCTCCGGGAAGCGCGCCGGTCCGTCCTCGGCTGCTGGGGCGGCCAGCCCAGCACGGTGAGTGCAGAAGCAGTGATTCGACGAGGGCATCGACTAATTACAGAATTGATCTTTGTCCCGAAAGAGATTTGCGCGTCGGGTCTACGAGAAGTGAGCAGAACGCTCCGTAGATCTCGGAACATCCTGCGCGCTTCTCGTAGAGTCGACGAAACAATACACCCTGGGGTAAATCGAGACTGCAGTCGAACCCCTGCTCGAGTGATGCGTCGCACAGCGACAGTCGTGTTCGATGCTGTCCTCGCCGCGCTGGCACTCAAGCAGACACACGGCGCGATGCTGAAAGCATCGTGCTGTGCACCAGCCGCTGAAGGCCGCCACGAGGAAGGCCGCAGCGACCCGCGGTGTGCCTCTAGCGGCGAGCACCTGGCCAATCGCGACCAACCCTGCAGGACGCCATCCACGACGATTGTGTTTTTATTGTGCTACTTTCTTAGAGGCCTCCTAGATGGGGTCCGAGTAGATGGGGTCGGAGGGTCGTGCCGCATCGCCAATGCATCGGCGATGCATCGTCGACGCCGGCGACGCACCGGCGACGTCGGCGAAGAGAAAATCGGGCTCCGCATCGAGCCGCATCGCCGGTGCATCGGCGATGCGGCGCGATCCTCCTACCCCATCCATTCCGACCCCATCTAGGAGGCCTAGAAGTATGTGTCTTCTTTTTCCCCCACGCTCCCAGACGCGCCCCCCACTGGGAAAGGGGGGCAAATTGGGGCCTTCGGGTTGGGTTGGAGTGGTTTGGTGGGTGGTGAAGCGCATCCTCATCCAGCTGGCTGGCATCCAGCAAGGAGATCGCGGAGCTCCTCGAACGCTCGGCAGCTGCGAGCGCGTCCGCCGCCTCGACAAACCTGCAAATCGCACAACCCCTCATCCGTGCGGCTGTGCGAAGACTGGCACCATCGGAACAACGCTCTCGCCCGAGCAGCTGCTGGGGTCGCCCTCGCGCCCGGAGCCCGCCGTTGAGGCGGTCCGCGCACATGAGAGCCCTGGCCGCGGCAGCGGCAGCACACGAGGCCAGCGAGACGATCCTGGAGCTCGTGCCCATGTCTGTGAGCGACTGCGGTACGCCTGCCGCGATCCGGTCCCATGGCCCAGGCACTGGCCGGATGAGTGCGCTCGACTCCTGCTGCAAAGCGTCTGCGGGGACCCGCTCCAGCTGGGCCTCCAACGAGATTTTACACTGGTCCTCCTCCTCCTCCCCCTCCTCCTCCTCCTCCTCCTTGTCCTCGTCCTCCTCCTCCTCCTCCTCCTCCCCCTCCTCCTCCTCCTCCTCCTCCTCCTCCTTCTCCTCGTCCTCCTCCTCCTCCTCCTCCTCCTCCTCCTCCTCCGCCTCCTCCTCCTCCTCCTCCTCCTCCTCCTCCTCCTCCTCCTCCCCCTGCCGATGACGCGCGCCCCGCGTGCCGCCGCCGTGGGGCGCGGAGCGCTGCGCCGATCGCCGGCCAGGCGTCCACGCGCCCGCAGGCTGCGGGTCTCGGCTTCGTGGCTCGAGCAGGAGTGGGAGTCCAGGCTCGAGAGCGCGGAGAGCGCTTAGCACCGAGGCCACATCCCATCATAGCAGAGTGGTGGGCCGCGCATAACAGCAAACATCGTCCGCGTCTTGAGTCAGTTAATGCACCTCATTCCTTGAGTCCAGGCTCGAGGCTTCCAGGCCCTCCGGGGCCTCGAGGGGCGCCCATGTAGCCGAGGCTGGGTCCGCACAGTAAGAAGGAATCAGAACGCGCTCCAGGAGAGGTCGAAGGCGGGGGGGAATCGTCGTCGTCGACGTCCTCGCCGTCGTCGACGACGAGCCCGTGGTCGTCGTGGGCGTCACATCGACTCTACCGTCGTCGACGTCGTTGTCGTTGTCAGCGTCGCCGTTGCGTGTTGTCTGCGTCGTCGTCAGGGTCACTGTCGACGCCGTCGTCGACGTCGCCGCCGTGTTGTCGGCGTCGTGTCGTCGACGTCGTCGGCGACATCGGCGTCGACGCCGTCGTCATCGTAGCCGCCGTCTTGTGATCGGGGCGGGGCTCACTCAGAGAAGCCCCCCTCGAGAGGTGCGGCCTGGGACAGACGGCAGGGAGAGAGGGAGGCCAAGGCGCCGCTCTTGTGGGCCTCGAGGCGCACGGAATCGGGAGGTGCCTCCCCGCCCGCCTCTCCCGAGATCCGACGTCGTGGAAGAATTGCGCACGGCTCCGTCAAAAAACAGTGAGCCCAGGCTGTCGAACCCATCCTTCTGCGGCCCCTCTCGACCTGGATCGGCACGCAGACACGTGCCTGCAGTCACGGGGCAAGGCACTCCGTCCTGCTTCTTCACGACGCCCATGCCTGAGTGTCGTCCTCCTCCCTCCTCGCCCCCGACGCTCGGCTGGTGAGCGTGAGCGTTGGCGGGGCCTCCTCGATCCTCGACCAAACCCCCTTCGTCCTCCTTCCTCCTCGCCTCCTCCTTCCCGTCCCGCCTCCCGCCAGGCCCTCCTTCCCAGCGGCTAGGCGCCAGCGATCGCCGCACCCAACGTTTCAGAAATACGAGGTCCTCAACTTCCAGCGGGCCCTGGCCCAGCCACCCCCAACTCAGGGGGGGCCCTAGACTGGAGGCATGGGCCCCCCCCACCCGTTCGCGACGTGGGCCCCCATGAAACTCTTGGCCTCATCCCCGGGACCGTTTGGTTCGCCGCGGTTCGTTCTCTCAAGGCTCCAGGGCCCCGGAAACCGGAAAAACGAAGTAGTGTTTGTTGTTGTTGTTGTTGTTGGTGGTGGTGGTGGTGTTGGTGTTGTTGTGGTTGGTGTCGGTGTTGGTGTTGGAATTGATGCTGCTATTGTGGTTGTTGGTATTGGTGCAATTGTTGCTGCTGTTGATGTTGGTGGTGTAGTTGCTGTTGGTGTTGTTGTGGTTGTTGGTGTTGTTGTTATTGTTGTGTGTTTGTTGTTGCTGTTGTTGGTGGTGGTGTTGAACTTGGTGTTCGCCAACTTCTGAATACTATGATTGTATATGCTTGTTTTATCATTTAATGCTACGAGTATTCGTACGATTGCTTGCATTAGTTATAAAATAATCTAATTGGTAGCGTTATTACTGCTGTTCTTGATGGTGTTGTCGTTGTCAGCCGCGCCAGGAGTTCTGGGTCGCATCTCCCTTCCTGTCCGCGGGGATCTTTGGAGGTCGCTGGAGGCGCGTAGGAGCCCAAGGGCCGACAAAAAGCTCCCAATGCCTCAGGCTTCCCTCGCCCCTCTCGCTTTCCCCCCTCCCCCCCGCCGGCGCCCAAACACGCCGCAAGGGAGCGGGAGGGGGGCGAGGCGAGCGAGAGACTTGTGCCGAACATCTGCTGCGAGAGCGCACAGCAAACCTTCACACTCGATCCTTCAAGTCCTCGAAGTCCCCTCCCCTCCAGACATGCGACGGTGGGAGTTGTTCAATCCGCAGGCCCCATGGGGGTCCCGCCGCTTCCCTGGGGACAGTATCCCGTCTCGGGTCCATGTGTGGTTACCCTGGGGCCAGAAAGTAGCTCCAAGAAACACCTGATATCAAGGAGGAAGCACGCGGAACTCTTATCATACATAACTGTGGCATGCGCACACACATGTATGTATAGGTGCTCATGTACGCGTGCACACCTAAACATGAGTATGCACATCTGAGTATGTATGTATACATGCATGTCTACATATGGGTACTCTGTATACACCTGTACGCATGCACACACAACAACAACAACAACAACAACAACAGCAACAACAACAACAACAACAGCATCAATTACTAGAACGTGGGGACACTCCGTTCTCACCAGTGCCAGGGTTTTCATACGACGCCCGCCAATACCCCCACTTTGTGGGGGGGCCGGTTCAAGCTCTACCACATTTCCAAACGACTCTTCGCCACCACCCACACCCAGCTTCCCGCCCTATGACGTTCGGACACTTCACTTCGTGGCCTGCGGACGACCGTGGCTACTACACTGGCGCATGGGTACAGTGACTTGTTGTGGTAACATTTTCTGGACGCTAGCTTAGTATACGATTTTTCCCCGTTCCAACACTGGACACCTGTTTTTTTGGAACCAGGTAGTGTTGAAAAACCATTGGTTTTTTAGGATTCGGACAGCGCGCGCGGGTAGAAATTTTGAAAATTCGTACAGATGTGTTTCGAGGACCTACGGTGCGATTCGTATGATTTTATGTTGCGCGGTGCTAAAATTCCTAAGAAACCCAATGGTTTTTGAAGATTTCGGCGTGCGCGCGCGAAGAAAAAACGAATGTGTCCCATATGGTATTATTTGACAGGGATGATGGCCCTGGCAGCGCGCAACCGTTGTTGCAGAAGTTCGAAGCACGTGAAAAAGTTGCTCGCAAGAGCCCGTTTGACAGAAATGTTGAAAAAGTGTTGGGTTTCCTAAGAAATCCGCAAGAGCGCGCGGGATGAATTTTTGAAACTGTTTTTTTTGAAAAACCATTGGGTTTTTCATGTTTTTATGTTAAAATCGCTACGAAAACTAAGGTTTAGGAAGGATTTCATCTTGCGCGCGCGAGTGTGCACTTCGTGTCATATGTTGCAAAGGATTCTTGAAGTTTGGTTATGTTAGAACAAGACATGTCATTTTATATTGTTTTTTGAAAGGGAAAGCGGGCGTCAACAAAACAACCGGATCCGGACTCCCCCGTTTTGCCTGAGACTTCCTCACGAAAATGATGAAAATGTGGCTGCGGCCTAGGCGCGGCGAGGGGGGCGTGCACCAGGGGGCCCAACAATAATTATTCTTTAGAAGTAATAATATTCAACAACAACACCGACAACAACAACAACAACAACAACATCAACAACAACAACAACAACAACAACGACAACAACAACAACGACGACGACGACGACGACGACGACGACGACGACGACGACGACAACAACAACAACAACAAAGACGCCTCCACCAGAAGTCCGACGTCCCTGCCCCCCCCTCCCCCCTCCCTGGCGTGCCACTTGTGGGTGTAGAACTCGCCCGGCTTGTCCAGGTCGCTCCTGGGGCTCCTCCGCATGGCGGGGGCCGATCAGCTCGGCATAATCCACCTTGACCTCCTTTCCTCCTCCACCCCCCTCCTCCTTTCTTCCTCTCCTCCTCCTCCTCCTCCTCCTCCTCCTCCTCATCCTCCACGTCCTCCTCCCACTCTTCCTCCTCCTCACCTCTTCTTCCTCCCCTTTTTCATCCTTCCCCTTCTCCTCATCCACCTCCTCCTCCTCCATCCACCACTCCTCTTTCCCCTGCTCCTTCTGCTGCTGCTCCTCCTCCTCCTTCTCCTCCTTCTCCTCCTCCTCCTCCTCCTCCCCCTCCTCCACCCACTCCCCTTTTCTCCTCCTCGTCCTCATCCTTCTCCTCTTCCTCCTACTCCTCCTCATCCTCCGCCACCCACCCCTGCAACTCCTACTCCCCTTCTGCTTCCCCTCCTTCTCTCTCCCACTCCTCCTCCTCCTCCTCCTCCTCCTCCTCCTCCTCCTCCTCCTCACCCTCCTCCACCTCCTCTCCCCCCCCTCCTCCTCCTCCTCTTGCTCCGTCCTGTTCCTTTTCCATCTACCTCTTTCCCCTGCTGCATCTCTCGTCCTTAGAACCTCCTCCCCCCTTGTCGCACCACCAGACGTGTCCGTAGGCCGGGCGGGGCGTTACGCTTGAGACTTCCATACGCCGCGCGATCCTGCAACTCACACAAAAACACAGGCCAAACAAAGAGATGGAGGGCCGGTCGTTCGCAAGATGCGGCTCTCGCCTTAGCGCCACGAGCATTCGCTTGAACAGACTCCACGGATGGCGCGTGGGGGCCAAGATGCCGTTCTCGCCTCAGCGACGAGCACATTCCCCGAACTGTGCTTGCACAGAGGGGTCGTCACCTAGGCTCTTCAAAGTCATTGGAGGGGCGAGCCGGAGCTTCGCCACGTTCCCGGCCGTGGGTGCCTGGTGTGCGCCCCGTGCGCTGGCTGGGGATGGCCAGCGTTTCGCCACACGCCTGGCCGTGGGCACCTCAGCTTGCACCACACAGCTTGCACCATATACGTAGCTTGCGCCGCATCGCTTGCACCCAATAGTCTGCACCCCATAGCTTGCCCGACGTAGCGTACGCCGCAAAGGTTGCATCATTTGGCTTACACGTCCAGTCGTGCTCAAAATGCGGCTGTCGCAACTGTGCCGCGCACACTCGCTTTGCAAATATCCAACAGCTGCAAGCATGAATGGAAGGCTGTTTTCAAAAAGCAGCCCTCGCCTCAGCGCTGCGCATCCTCGCCTTGAACATTCTGAGCTTTACACGGATGGAGGTGTGGTGGTCTTGAGAATGCGGCTCTCGCCTGGGCGCCACACTCAAAAGTGTTGAACTAGACGAGCAGCTACGAGGATGGAGGCTGGCTCGTATTTAAAATGCGGCTCTATCTGGAGACTGCCTCGCACTCTAGAACTCAAAGTACCAAACGGTGTTCCAGCTTCAAGGATGGAGGGCACCTCCTTTTCAAAATGGGGCTCTCGCTTGAAAAGTTCGCAAGGGTATGGCAACAACTTTGACATTGGGCAACATTTCGCACGGATTGGAGTGCTGTCAAAACGGGACTATCACTTGACACTAGCTTGAACTTCATCATCCGACTTCTGTGCGTCTTTTCAAAAACAAAAACAAAACACGGAAAGCGATTCCCACACTGGAGTGGAACACTTGGCGGGGACTGGTGAGGGGACTTCGGAAAGGAAGGTGTACTGCAGCATCGTTAATGCATCCTGGGTTTACTATTGTCCTCATCCTCCTCCTCCCCTCCACCTCCTCCTCCTCCTCCTCCTCCTCCTCCTCCTCCTCCTCCTCCTCCTCCCCCCCTCCTCCTCCCATTCCTCTCCGCCTCCTCCTCCTTCTCCTCCTCGACCTAGAGGTTCGAGGCTTGAGCTTTCCGTGCGTCTTGGGCTCGCCCGCATGCCCCAGGCCCCCAGGCAGAAGGCAGAAGAGTACTTTCGCGATCGGCGACGTCTTCGCCCTGGTTTTTGTTCGGGGCTCCCGCGTGCCTACTCTCCAAGCCCTGGGCAGCGCACCCGCTGCCCCCTGGGAGCGACCGTTGGCGTGCCGCTACCAGGGGGTGACCCCCCCCCGTTTTTGAGAGGCGGCGGGGCTGAGCGCGCCTGGCACCCGATGAAAACTGTGCACCGTCGGAGGTGCGCGCGCCGCCGCAGACTGAATCCAAGACGCATCAACGATGCTGCAATACACCCTCCCGTCCCAAGTCCCCTGCTCATCAGTCCCTGCGTCAGGTTCGTGTCGTGCCGACTTCGGCGTTGGTCTCTGACACCGCGGGGATCGTTCAACCTTGATCGATCGGCCGCTTCCGAAACGTCAGAATCGTTACACATCGAACGATTCTGGGTCGCCCGCGGCGTTCAACGTTGAACGCCGCTGGCGGGGTCGCCGCCGGTCGACACGACACGAACCTACGGTGGGTTCGTGCGGCGTCGGCGCGCGCAAAGGCTTCAGACACCGCGTCGATCGTTCCACCTTGAATCGATCGCGGCCCCGATCGTTCAAGGTTGAAATTCAACCTTGAACGCCTTCGCACGCGTCGCTGGCGCGCCAACGCCGCACGAACCTACCGTACCGTACAAGCCCTCCTGCTCACTGCAGGGAGCGCCCCTTGAGAGACCAGCACTCCCGAGGCCTGCCGCTCCGGGGAGAGCCCCCTTCTGGAGAGGAGCTGCCTCGCATCCTTCCTGCGCACAATATGGAATTCCCAAGTCCCCTCCTCATCAGCCCCTACAGCGGAGGCCGGTCCACGAGAAACCTTCCACAAGAAACCCAACCCTGAGACCCCAGGACGCCCATTGATCTTTGGCGTGGGAACGTCACGCGTTCCATAGCAGAACCATCGACACCCAAGACACCCAGGGCACACAGGAGGCAAGGCAGGGTGCTTCTTGGCATGGGCCCCCACTGTACAAGCCTTCCCTCTCACTGCAGGATTCGCCCCTTGAGAGACCAGCACCCCGCAGGCCTGCTGCTCCGGGGAGGGCCCCCTTCTGGAGAGCAGCTGCTTCGTACCCTTCTTGCGCAGACGGGGGGGGCACTGGGTAAGGAACCCTTTAGATAAGGAGTCCAGGGCCCGGAAGCCAGTGGGACTCCAATCGTGGATCGGCCACGGACATCACCGCCGCCCTCATTGGCTAAGCAATCCCATGGCGCCTCCTGGGACTATTGCTTAGCAAACGCCTCCACCGCAATCTGGAATGCGAGAAGGTACGATCATGCAATTCACCGAGGTGTCCTGCGAAACCCCTGCTGTGAAAAAGCACAGCTCCCCACCCGTGAAACTACCGCGCAAATTGACACGCCTGGCTGTCAACGTCGAGGACGTCTCGAGCGAGCGCCCCTTTTCGAGAAGGAACCGTGCCCCATCCTCGCAGTCGTCGCGAGATCTGTCACCGTGCCTTGAGCACGCGTGGAGTGCCCCAAGGCTCACGCAGCCCTGACAGGTACAGGCGTCGCAGGGCTCTCAAAGGCCAAGACCTCCGATTTCTCGGGTGCTCCCGGGCGCTCCCAGGGGCTGCTGGGGTGGATCGCGTGGGGCTCCGGGACGGTCCCCTCGCCCCGGAGGGCCCCAAAACGGGCCAACAAAGCCCCAGTAGGCAGTCTACACGGTCGAAGAGAGCCCACACTTGCCGAAAGATCGCGCCAAGATGCCCAAGATGGCCTCCAGACTGCCGAAGAGGCCCCAAGACGCTCCCAGAGGCCTCCAAGAACAGAGCTCTCAAGAGGTCCCCTAGAGGTGAAAATCATTGACTTCCCCCATGGTTGTAGAATGATTTTGACTTTCTCGCCTTTTGGCTTCCCGACGCTCCAAGACGGCTTACGAGGCTCCCAAGATCGTCCCAAGACAGCTCAAGAGGCCTCCAAGAAGGCTCCACAACGGCCCCAGAGAGCCCCAAGACGGTCCAAGGCCTCCAAGACGGCCCAAGAGGCTCCAAAGACGTCTCCAAGAGGGGACCCAGACGGGGGACCCGAACGGACATTTCGAGCCCTCAGCCCCTCAGGAGGCCCTAAGAAGCCTGGAAGAAGCTAGGAAGCCTCAAGAGGCCCCCAAGAGGGTCGGAAGAGGCCCCCACTGGACCCCCCCCCAAGACTGCCCCCGAGAAGCCCCACTACTGTCCCAAAGAGGCATGAGAGCGCTCAGAAGAGGCCCCGAGAAGCATCCCTGAGGCCTCTGACCCACAATCTGGGCACGGTAGCGGGATAGGCCGAATGCATCAACCCTGGACTGGCACGGGAGCAGCCAAGAAGGCTCGTGGCATCTTGCGCTGTTGGGGGCCTTGGCGTTGACAGCTTGTTCACGTCACCGATCACTCTTGGCAGCCTCCGTGTGAAGAGCTTTGTGCGCAACCGTTCGGTATTGGGAGCCTTGGCGTAATGAGCGACTTACGTCATCGTTCGCTCTTGGGAGCCTTGGCGTCAAGAGCTTGTCACGTCACCGCTCGCTCTTGGAAGTTGGGGTGTGAGGAGCTGAGAAGGTCACCGCTCCCCCTTTGGAGCCTTAGAGTTAGGAGCTGTTTATGTAACCGCTCGCTCTTGGAAGCCTTGGCGTTAAGGTTATTTCTGTCACCGTTCGCTATTGGGAACCTGGGCATTCGGAACTTTCTGGCCCACTACTCGCTCTTGACTTTTCTGCTGCAGATGCGAAGACCTCAGCACGAAACGGATGCGGCCATGCAATGTGTTGTCGGTGCGACCGTTCTGGCTCACACACGGGCTCAACAATAAACACTTGGCGGGCACAGCTGAGGTCCTCTCAGGTGCGTCGAAACAGGTCTTGCCTTGCAAATGAAACAACCGCCTGTAATGAACATGATGGCTGGACGCACTGCAGGCGAAGCAGAGAAGCACGGAATACACTTCATAGACCCTGCTCGAGTGAATGCACAGCGGACAAGGCTGCAAACCTCTGAGCCGTCCAACATGCTCGACGCGATCGGAACATGCAGCCGAAACCACTACAGCCGACTCGCCCCACCAGAGAACCTAATAGACATCCCCGATACCTCACTTGTACCAACCAGCCATGCGCACGCAATGCCCATCACCACAACAGACGTACCACTACCCGATGACAACTCTAAATCATGCTCTCGCCCAAACCGCCAACTCGAAATTTGCTTCACCTGGGACGGCAACATATCGAACAGGGAATTCTTGAACTCGCACAAGAAACGGTTGGGGTCTGAAGTAGACATGCCTTTCACCACACCGAAATCTCCCTTCGACAACTTGCCACCATTAGGCAATTCGTGTTCAACCTTGCTCTCGACCAAGTCGCCAACTCGAAAGTTCGTTTGCTTCACCTGGGACGGCAACATATCGAACAGGGAATTCTTGAACTCGCACAAGAAACGGTTGGGGTCTGAAGTAGACATGCCTTTCACCACACCGACATCTCCCTTCGACAACTTGCCACCATTAGGCAATTCGTGTTCAACCTTGCTCTCGACCAAGTCGCCAACTCGAAAGTTCGTTTGCTTCACCTGGGACGGCAACGTATCGAACAAGGAATTCTTGAACTCGCACAAGAAACGGTTGGGGTCTGAAGTAGACACGCCTTTCACCACACCGACATCTCCCTTCGACAACTTGCCACCATTAGGCAATTCGTGTTCAATCATGCTCTCGACCAAGTCGCCAACTCGAAAGTTCGTTTGCTTCACCTGGGACGGCACCATATCGAACAGGGAATTCTTGACCTCGCACAAGAAACGGTTGGGGTCTGAAGTAGACATGGCTTTCACCACACCGACATCTCCCTTCGACAACTTGCCATCATTTGGCAATTCGTGTTCAATCATGCTCTCGACCAAATCGCCTGCAGATGCACCAAATGCATACTGGGCCACGGACATGAAAATTATCATTATCCGCCGGCCCCCTTGTGGGGCCACCAGGCTGTAGGCACGTGATTCGCAGTTTCCTGTACCAGTTGTAGTTTCTAGTTTCCAGTGTTACAATTCTGCTTCTTGCTGGTTACTGTAACTAGTTGACTTCTTGCTGGTTACTGTAACTAGTTGATTGACCGCGCGAGGGGGGGGGAGGCCCAAACAGAATTTTCCAGCGTCCCCTAAGCGCGTTGTCTGAATTGCTGGGGGGGCTCGAAATCGACACCCCTCACGCAGATCCGCGGGGTCAGGGTCCAAAAACACAGGGATTTGCCACATTTCTGAAATTCGGTGCCACCCCTCACGCAGATCCGCGGGGTCAGGGTCCAAAAACACAGGGGATTTGCCACATTTCTGAAATTCGGTGCCACCCCTCACGCAGATCCGCGGGGTCAGGGTCCAAAAACACATGGGATTTGCCACATTTCTGAAATTCGGTGCCACCCCTCACGCAGATCCGCGGGGTCAGGGTCCAAAAACACATGGGATTTGCCACATTTCTGAAATTCGGTGCCACCCCTCACGCAGATCCGCGGGGTCAGGGTCCAAAAACACAAGGGATTTGCCACATTTCTGAAATTCGGTGCCACCCCTCACGCAGATCCGCGGGGTCAGGGTCCAAAAACACAGGGATTTGCCACATTTCTGAAATTCGGTGCCACCCCTCACGCAGATCCGCGGGGTCAGGGTCCAAAAACACAGGGATTTGCCACATTTCTGAAATTCGGTGCCACCCCTCACGCAGATCCGCGGGGTCAGGGTCCAAAAACACAGGGGATTTGCCACATTTCTGAAATTCGGTGCCACCCCTCACGCAGATCCGCGGGGTCAGGGTCCAAAAACACATGGGATTTGCCACATTTCTGAAATTCGAACCCATCACGCACATCCATCGCAAGGCGTGGTAACCCAAACTGCGAGAACTCCCTCGGCCCTTTCATCGCAAGGTGTGGTAACCAAGCCCTTAAACCATACACGTCTTACCAATCGCCAGGTGTGGTAACCCCTCTTGTGATCAGTTGGTTTTGCTGATTGCGACTCGGCTTCGCATGAAGTTTCGATACTGCTTCACGACAGCGCCAAGGCCTCATGACTTAGCTCTTCCATGGCCCATTCTCCGAGAGAGGGGGCCGGCGGCAGGGGGCGAAGCCCTTACGGATAGGCTTCGTGTAGTGCGTATCACACAGTTTCTTCAACGACGATAAATACGATACTTCCTCTGCCTGAGCCTTACCCAGATCTCCTGGTCCACCAGGCCCATGAATTACGATCCACTTTGTCACGTTTGACGTCCCCGATGCGTAGCGCTCAACGTTACCACCATATATCATTTTCCAAGTTTCCCACGAAGGCTCGAAAAGCGCAGCAAGCGAATCTCCTTTTGATTTGGCCGCTGCAACGGCAGTCTTCCATGTATTCTTGTGGCAGCTGACGATGCATGTGCAAGTACGACCTGCAAATCCACTGTCGAGCAGATCCATGATCTCTGGCACACGAAATCAAACCGTCGACGTGCCCACAACAATACTTACTCCTGGCTGCGCCGGAAGCAGTGCTGGCAGCAACTTGAGCCACAAGGCTTGACCCTTGAGCTAGAATGGCTGAAGCTAAAATGGCTACGGAGGCTCAATACTCGTTCTTGGGACCCAGAGCGTTCACAAAGATGTCTACGTCACCGATTCGCGTGCAAAAGACTGTGCGGCCACCTGGTGCTATTGGGAGCCTTTGCGTCAAAGCTGCGTCCGTCATTGGGCCGTGCGGGGGGGTCCTTTGGGGACTCTTTGGGGGTCTCTTGGGGCTCTCTTGGGATGTTCTGGGGACCTCTTGGGCCGTTTCGGATGGCTTTCCCTGACTTGGGGCCATCTTGGGGTTCTCTTACGGCACTCTTGGGGACCTCTTACGGCACTTTTGGGACTCTTTCGGGAGTCTCCTGGGCTCCTCGGGCCGTCCAGTGGGCCCTCTGGAGAGGCTCTTGAGCCGTCTCGGGGACCCCTTGGGCCGTCTTCGGGAGCCTCATGGGCCGTCTTCGGGCCCTCTGAGGGCCCTCTTTGGCCGTCGTGGCGGCCTCCCAGGACTCTCTGAGCGCTCATTTGGAACCCCCTGGGGGGCCGTCTTGGGGCGATATTGTCGCATTTCGGGCCGTCTTGGGCCGTCGAAATCCCGAAAAGGCGAGAACCCTGAAAACATTGAGAAATCATTGGGGGATCAATGTTTTCGCCCTCCTGAAGCTCTCTTAGGGGTCTTCTGGAGCGCCTGATGGCCAGTCTTGGAGTCCTTGTGGACCGTCTGGAAGCCGTCGTAGGCCATCTTCGACCAGACTTGGGCGGCCTTAGGCTCTCTTGGAGCGCTCTCGGGCCATCTTGGAGCCGTCTAGGACCTCTATATGGCCGCCCTGGGAGTATATGAGGCCGTCTTGGGCGCCTCTTGGGCCGTCCTGCCCCACCCTCCCCGGGAGAATTTGACCAAATTGTGCGCGCTACGCCACTACCGAGGGAGCCCCCTCCGCCCAACCTAGCAGGTCATCACCCGTGTCTCGCTCTTTCCTTCGCCCGCCAGCCTCCCATGGTTTGCCACAGGGGTTCACGGCGTGCCGGACGACGAGGGTGTTGGTTCTTTCCTGGAGAGCTTCCACTTGGACTGCTCGCAAGAGTGACCCTGGGTAAGAGTGACCTTTGGTGCCCGACTTTTTGGGGGCCGCGGGGGGACCAAACCTGGGCGCGCAAGCAGCTGCTACTGCCTCGTTTTCAGCCATCTGGGGACCCATCTGTGCCCGCACCAAAGGTCACTCCGGCGAAAGGTCACCCTGACGTCTAGTCGACCACTGGGGCTTTGGCCCAGCCCGCTGGCCACTGGGAAAGCTCCTCAAACTACTCCCCACTCTCTGGCCTGGCCAGATCGCCTCCAACACGGCTGAGATGGCCCACGATGGCCTCCAAGATGGTCCCAAGACGCCTCAAAGACGGCCAATACTGTTCCGAGAGAGCCCAAGATGGCAGAAACATGTGGCCAAGACGGTCCAAGATTCACTCAAAACGGCTTAAGATGGAATCCAGATGGCCAACAACTCCCCAAGACGCTCCCAAGAGACTTTCAAGAAAATGCACAATAATATTCAAAAACATCACAAAGTCATTACCTTTTCTGCAGGTGTTTGAAGGTGATTGATTGTCGCTCCTGTTCGGCCATCCGACGGCCCAAGACGGCCCTACAGACCCCCACGATCTCCCCAAAATCGCCGCAGATACCTCCAAGATGGCACCATGCGGCTCAAGCAGGCTCCAAAACGGCCCCGAAATGGCCCAAAGACGATCCTACAGGCCTCCTAGATGCTCACTATGGCACCCAAAGGCATCCAAAATGCCTCCAAGAGAAGCCACGATGGCCGCAAGATGTCTCCAAGACCGCCCAAGATGCACCCAAGACGCCCTAAGATGGCCTCCACATGGCCCAGGTCGGCCCAAGAAGCTCCCAAGAAGCCGCCAAGACGGTCCAAGAGGCCTCCAAGGTGACAGACAGGAAGGCCCGAAGGAGCACAACAACTTCTGATGTTTCATAGGCTTCAGAAGGCTGTCGGCTGTTGCTCCTTGTCGGCCTCCCGATGGCCCAAGACGGCCCAAGACGACCAGCACCCAAAATCGGCCCAAGGTCGCCCAAGAGGCTTCCAAAGCCAACCCAAGAAACCGCCAAGACGGCCTCCCCAAAAAAAGACTGACCAAGAGGCCTCAAAGACGCCCAAAATAGCCTCAAAGACTGAGACGATGGCCCCAAGAAAGCCCAAGATGGCCGTACAGTGTCTCCAAGACAGCCCCAGAAGACCTAAGACGACCTAAGATAACTTCAGGGTGGCCCAAACATGGCCCCAAGAAGCCTCCAAGACAGCCCAAGCCTCCATGACGTCCTCCAGAACGGCCCCAGGGAATCAAAATCATAGTGTTTCCTCATGTGTTCGGCGATTTGGGTAGTTGCTCTCTTTTCTCCTATCGACGGACCAAGACGGCCCAAGAGGCCCCAAAAATCGCCCCAGGATCGTTCAAGATGCTTCCAAGACGGCCCAATGGCGGCACAAAAGGCGTTGAAAGGCGGCCCGAGAGGCCCCCAAAATGGCCCGAAGCGAGCTCCAAGGCGGCCTCAGAGACTCCCGAGACGGCCTGGAAGAGCCCCAAGAGGCCCCAAGTCGGCCCAGAGTCCCCAAAGAAGGCGTCATACTGCGCCAGGCGGGCCACGAACGCTCTGAGACGGCTCAAGAACCCCCCCAAGGCCCCCAAGGGGTCCAACAAGGCAGTCAAGAGGCCTCGTAGAGGCTCCCAGGATGTCCCCAGGAGGCTCTAACAGTGCCCCATGAGGCTCCCAAGAAGTCTCGTCCTCCTCCTCCTCCTCCTCCTCATTATCATCACCTCCTCCTCCTTCTCCTCCTCCTCCTCCTCCTCCTCCTCCTCCTCCCTTCTCCTCCTTCTCTTCCTCCCGAGCGTGGTCCCCGAAGGGTTTGGACAACGGCTGGGGGGGGAATACGTAGTCCGATAGCTTGGCCGAGCTCTGGCCACAACGCTCGGCCACGTTGAGGTATCCCAAAGGCAGGGGGCGACAGGGGTTCGCCGTATGCGTCTTCGATCCGCCGCCCCCTGTGATCTTGCCACATGAGTGCACGGAGTGCCAAACGTCTGGCAAGTTGCTGGTCCGTTTGTGGAGAACTCCCTTGAGGTCTCGGCCCAGCCTGCCGGCTTCCCGAAAGGCAGCGTACATTCGCAAATAACACCTCTCCAAGACCGCCAAGATAGCCTATAAGACGGCCAAGATGGCCTCCGAGATGCCTGCAAGACAGGCAAGATGGCCCCAAGCGAGCCCCACATAGGCCCAAGATAGCCTCCAAGACGCCTCCAAGACCGCCAAAATGGTCCAGGACAGCCCGAGACGGCCGAAGAAGCGCACAGAAGGCCCGTAAGACACCCCCAGAAGCATGTTCTCCAGAAAGGCCCGAAGAC